TACGATTCCATGAAGGACCGCACGTGCGAGCCGGATATCAACGAGCGCAAAGGGCACACGTGACGCGTCACAGAGGGCGACTTGCTCTCCAGCGACATTACGTGGATGGTACAACGAACTCCCGGGGCCGGTGATCGCGGACCAGCGACACCGGCGGAATCGGCCCTTTCGCCTCACGCCCTTCAGGGATAAAAACGTTCATAATCCCGGAATGCGGGAGCGACGCGGGGTTGCTTAATAATGCAATATGGCCGTCGGGGCGTCGCGACGCTATGCGGGCTATGCCGCGCATACCACTACTATACACGCCTACGCCTTGAGCCCTCTGCGGCTCCCGCATCCTTCGTGCCTCCCCGTCCCGCTGCCCCATATCGCCGTAGTTTCCTTCGCGGAACGAGGCCGTCTTCGCGATATACGCCGGCAATCGAATGTTGATTGGAAAATATCGATGGGACTTGCCATCTAGCACCCACCAGCCGGCGGTCCCCTTCTCTCTCTCTCTCTCTCTCTTTCTCTCGCTCTTTCTCCGTTGTCGACGTCGACGGAGAGGATTTTTCCATTGCGGTACGCTCTGGAATTCCGGTGAATTCTATATATATATATATTTTCCGAAGTTGAGACCCTCTTCCCCCTCTTCCGACAGTCACCGATAAAGTCGGTATTAATTGACGAAGATCCTCCCCGAACGATATTGGAGTAATCAAGCGGGAGGACGGTGTCGATAATTCTATTGGAAGAGAAATGATTGATACAAAAATGGTTACTCAAAAGATTGATGGCGTTGCTTTGAATGATTGCCGAGCGGCCAGGATTATTTTTATTTTCTGTCGCCGAAATTACATCACGCTGGGGAACGTAATATGTTTACATCGCAAACTTATGTTTCCTTAATTCTTTTTTATTATCATATTACATAAACAATATTAGTTATATATTGCGCGATATTGTGTTTATTTGTCGGATAATTATAACGTATGTAACGATGCCCTTTTTCGATCAAAATATTTACGGATAAATTTGCCCGCACTTCCGTTCTCCTTCGACCTGCATCTTTGTCCTTTTCCGCCCCGGATAAACGTCACAATCGGTGAAATATTTCTGCGTACGGCTATACAAGGTCGTTCCAAGTTCCATGAATGGTTCCAGAGCGAATGGCACGTCGGCGAAGCGGTGATGCTTTTGAACTGAACCCATGACCTACTGGCAGAGAGAGAGAGAGAGAGAAGAGGACGCGGTGTCTAAACACCGCTGCTACGCTGCTCACTTCGATTTCCAGAACAGCTCAACTATTTCTGAAATTACACCCTCTAACATTATGCTGACCTTATTCGGAAGAAAAGCCTCCCTCGCCTTCGCATACTGAAATCTATAAATCGCATCACGCATAGCGGTTTTAAAACCAAACTTGGTCTACGGTTTCTTTTGAAGTGAGAGACGATTCTTTTTTTAGCGAACTGAACGGCATTAATCGCATAGATTTTTTTGTTGTTTCCTAAAATTAAATATTTTCAACAATTAAAGCTTTAATTGAAATTTTTTTAAAGCAGATTCTGTTGGCATTAAACATAGATAAAACGGGATCGATATCTAAATATAATTAAACAGCTCACAACACCTCCAAACCTTCAACTATAATTAATACAAACTTATATAATTTATTTTGACTTATAAAAAAAGTGAGATCATCAACTTGCGTATTTAAATTATTAGTGTAAAAAATGTAATATTGATAAAATTGTATAACAACTGTTTTTTATGTTTCAGAGATGGGGAAGTCAAAGAAGTCGAAAGAGTTGAAGAGATGGCAGATGAATCTAAAAGAAGAAGATACGATGAAAAACCGGACGGAAAGTGACGAAGTGCCGATAAAGAATTTGCCGGAAAATTTTCTTTGCATGCGCGTAAGTCCCTGCGTTCTCCAGAGTTATAAATTGTTATGCAATTTTATTTATAGAATGCATTCCGATAGGTGAAGAACGGTACCAAGATGAGAAACGTCCTCGACTATGCGTTGAAAAAATTCCCTCATCACGAGAGCGTCGTCTGGACCGGGATCGGACACTGCATAGAAAAAGTCATTTCTTGCGCGGAACTTTTCAAGAGAAAACACGAAGGCCTTCATCAAATTACGAAGTTGCGTTACATCAAGTAAGTTTTGCCAAAACAGGGATCGAAGGAAGCACTTTAACTGTAATTTTATTTCAGGACGAAAAGATCGGAGGAAAATATAGAAGAACAGGAGATTCAATTACCGGAAATTCATATCTTATTGACCAGGGATATTAAGGATACCACTGAGCTTGGGTGAGATTTAATTAATTATAAATATTATTTATAGAATATTTTTATACATAAATTTATTGCAATTTATTTTCATCATAATTTAATTATTAAAATTGCGACTTTTTGAAGATTTTTTGTTTTTCTCACGGTAGTTGATATAAATATATATTTCGTCAGATATCAAGCACCTGGAGATTACGAAGAATTTCCGGAAAAGGAAGACGCAGTGGAGCCGAAAACGAGCACGAGAACAGAAAACGCTAGCAATGCGACTTGCATTGACACTAAGGAATTCGCTACGATGGGACTAAGAATCGGACAGAAGAGGAAAAACAGGCACAATAAAACGGCATCATCCTTCAAGAAAAATAAAACAAGCAAGTCTTGATAATTATCAGTACAAATTAATATTTAGATACATAATAATTTAAATATAAAATTATAGATTTACAGATGTGTGTGATATATAATCAAACCATCAAAAAATCTATCGATAAAACTTGATACGGCAAATTGATACAGCATTTCATAATTGAAATATCTTTTTTTCTTAATTTAACTCTATATTTTCTATTACGTTTTACTTCTTTTCTACAGAGTTCGAGTATTCTTCTCTAATATTTTAAATATAAAAAGGATGCAACAAAATGCAGCTAAAAATGACAACTACAGACTTATAATTTTTAGATATTATTTCATTAATAACAGACAGGTGGAAATGACAAGCATCGGCGAATTATATGTAGAAAGTTTATTTTTCATTAATACAGACAATTTTCACGGAAACAGTCACACGTCATATATATTCCTGCTGTGTAACTACTCGTCACACCTTCGCTGTATTAATACATTATAACTCGAGTTTTTTTGTACTTACAAGTTGTATATACAGTGTTACAATATCCTTCCCATTGCGCCGGATACGGAAAAAGATGTACTAACAATGCATGATTTATCAAAGCCAATATCATTTGTTTAGAATATCGTAGTTGCCAGAAATATTATAGGGCAGTACATACGCCAGTATGTCGAGTATAAACTACGAATCAATTTTTTCATGCAACATTTCTCCTATCTTTCATGATCAAAAGATCCCACGATAAATGCGTGTAAGCATAGTGTTCAGGCGAGAATATTGCAATGAACATTCGTCACCTTTTCTTGTTATAAGATTGAGTTTTTTTAATTGCTATCTCTCCGATTAAAAAACATCACCCTTCTTGCAAACATTATCTATTAAAAAAACACAGTCGTGCTATAATTTTACAGCTGTTATCATAATTTTCAAGCCTGAGGTGAGAGCATTGATAAGGCATCTGCCTATTTTTTTTTTTTTACTATTCTATTAGTTATTTTAGTTTCGGTTTAGCCTTATGTCTAACACGTAAGCAAACGAGCGACCTGTTCAAAATTGGTCGTGATAATACGAAATTTCACAACGGGATAGGAAAGCTTAGCATCCTGCGATTCATATTGCTATACGGAATAAATGTATATATATTATAAATAACAATACTATACCACATTTATCGCTATATCTCTCGTTTCAACGTTTTACAAAGGTCAACTACATGATGATGGCTACTATGGTCACTTTATACTAACATGCTCGTATAATAATGTGTAAAATTCTACATTTGTTTATATAACTTCGCATTTTCTTTATTATGCAAATCGGCAACAAACATTCTCAGAGACCAGTATATCCAGTTCATTAAAAATTTCTGTATAATTGAATCCTATTTTATCGAACTGGTTTGATGTACATATAAAGATTCTCAAAGTTGCATTTGTTTTGTTAAAGAGAAGATAAAAGTATTATAATTGATACAATCTCATGAAATTGCTGTATACTGAAAAATATGGAAATTTTCACGCAAAGCAAATTGTTTTTCCAAATAAATATTGATAAAACCATAAAAATTTAGCAAAATTAACAATAATCATAGTTTTTTTAATATTTATTCCAAAATTTATTGGGTTGATCAGAAAGTTTCTTCGGATTGTTGCCTTTTATTTTACTTGAAAAATCTGAAGAAATTATCTGATCAATTCAATATAAACAATTATTTACTTACATAACTAAATATAAATGTATACATTATAATTTCCCATTATACATGTTTAGCATATAAAGTCTATTATTTTTACAAAAGGAAGCTGTAAAGCATAATTACATGTAGAAATGTCAAAATGTAGAAATACAAGAAACGTTTCCATCGTTATTTAATAACTTCAATACTATAAGGTTAAAAATTTATAACATCCTATTATTTCAATGTAATATATTATAAAAAGTATAACAGACTGAATTATTATATATAGCATGTTTTTTTTTAAGAAACTTTATAATAGTTTTAAAATAAATTCATATATTGTTTGTTTTAAAAACCGCTCAGATCTTAAACACTAAAAATACAAATAAATATGAGAGTTACATTTACCAAGCACGGAAAATATTTCGTGTACATTGATAGTGCTGCACTTATTCATAAAACATTCATCAAGGACGATTTCTGTTTAACCATATTGAAAATGGATAAAAGATTGTAACAAATTCATGCTACTTAAGTATGAGCGAATTTACTGACCTCACTCTTCAAAGATCTTCATTATATGTATACTTGCCATGAAGTATCAGTATGATGCATGAATAGTAGCTTTTTTTACTAAATCTGACAATTCGACTTTGGGCAATACATTCGGGTTGTTAGATCCTATGCTTCGCTTTCCGTGGCACCGTCGCCTTCCATGATAGGTACTATCAAATTATCCTTGGACATCAAATTATATTTTGTCACAAATGCGGTAAATCTGAAACAATGGAAATTGACATGTGGTTCCCGTTATAATACAATAGACTAACTGTCAAAATATTAACAAATATTTTAAGACTGTGCTCACTACCTGCGACAAAGAAATGTTTCATTTTCAAATTCATCAAATATCGTTCTATGATGGAAGTATGCGTGAGAAAAGATTCTATAAACCCTACGGCAAACAGAGCCGAGTTTTGCTACAGAAGATTCCTTGATGCTGATTCTGAAACAAGAATTTATATATATTTCCATCAATTAGATATTTATTTATTATTTTCTAATTATTTATACAGAAATTTATTTATTTAAATTTATTACATTTGTTACATTTATTTAAAAACAATAAATGTAACAAATTATAGCTAAAAAATACCTGCTAGGAAAATACTTGTTGCTGTTAAGTAGACACGCCGCTCCATCCAAAGTGTGTCGAGTGTAATCAATTGCAGGACATTCTTTGGGAGTTTTATGCGCAGCACATAAAAATATCCATTGTTCTGTGGCTGTCATTTGTGTGCATGTTTCAGGATGACATTCTTCTTGTAATCTTACTGCTAAACCATTAAGCTCCATACAGAACTGCCTGAGATGTTCATATTTCCAAACTCCTTCATCATTAGCTTCTGGCATATTAAGTATTAAATCAATATTAGATGGATCTCTTCTGATCATTTGTTGAATATATTGTTGCACAGCCAGTGTGCTATCCATTTCCTCAAACGGTTCATCAGGCCACCTGCTGAAGTCCTAGAGAATAAAATAAAACTTTAAATATAAGCTTTATAAAAATAATTATAGTTACGTCAGTGTCTGAACAATCAATTTTTTCACTATACAGCTCATCATAATATAAAAATAGATACAATATAACATAAAACGCAACTCTGCTTATTTTACTCTGCTACTAATATATTAGAAAATAATTATTAATCAATAAGAGAAATAAATGTTTTGCATTACAAATATGCGATTGTTTGGAGTGATGAAAACAAATATTTTGTCAAATTTATCATGCTTTGATAAAGGTTGAAAAATATGCTATAATTACAAAACATCGTGAAACATCTCGTAAAGGATATTTAAGGGTGTGATCGACTTGGAAAGAATATCATTCTCATAGTGTAAACAGTGTTTCGGTTTATCCCACGGAGTTCATTGATTTTCATCGGTAAAGTGTCAAAGGAGGGAGGAAGTGTCAGAAAGTTTCCGGAGATACGGTCGGCATTGCCATAAATTCGGGCGATCAAATATCGCCTGGGTGCAGGTACAATGTTTTTTTTTATAGAATTAATACGGAGTTAATAACCTCTGCTTTCGTCCCGGGTCTGTTTCTTCGCAGGATCGTAGGTCCGTCCGCCATCTTCATTGTGCCAGTTGTTGCACTCAACCGACCGGTATACACGCTCGATTGGCGAAGTGATTACTCTGGCGTGCTCTGTCACCGAGGAACTCGTCGATAGATACACACCCGCGGACACTGATTCGTCCCACTCCAGACGAGGAGAAAGCCTGAAAGCCTAAAGGTTGCCTAGACTGTAAAAGTCGTCTAAAAATTACGCATGCTCGTTGACACTGCTGTCGAATGAAGATATTTAAATTATATTTTATTCTATTGTATTCTAAAAATTCTCATGTTAATTGTGATTTACGTCTCATTTTTTATTATATGTCTGTTTGATACCGAGTCAGTCTATTGGTACATGGTTTTTTCAGATTTTTAGATCAAATAACCTCAAAATTTTACAACTCTAAGGGTATATTCAGCAAACTTGCATAACCATAATGTATATTTATAAAGAAATTGACCAATCACGTATTTAATGCAATTATGCAAGTTCATGTAAAAATGCCTTAATGTTGCATGATTACTTCTGTAAAAGCGCGCCATAATTCCTCGAATTTGCAGGAGTCAAGTAACTCCATGAAATATAAATTTTAATCTCTGAGAGAATTTTTTGCGCTCTCTTTATAAACAATTTGGATGCAATACAACCATGTTGCTGCAAATAAAATATGTAAATATTTTAAATACAAAAAAAACTACAAATTAAATATAAAAAAAAATCTATTTTAGTATATTATATAAAATATATATAAAGCAGCATTTTTGCTGCTTGTATTTTAGTTGGCATTTTGTGCCTGTAACATAGTTCTTATCACTACACATTTTATCAAGCAGCAATCGCATGGAATACTATGCTCTATCACCTCTGCATCCAACATAATTAATTCCATAATATAATGCCTTGGATTTAACACATCTCTTCTTAATTCCAGTTTGAAAGCAATAGGATCATCTTTCATTACTTCTATATTTTCTGGTAGAACAATTGCAGTTTGCTTCCAATGTGTTACTTCACTATGAGGCCCTGTGGATAGCTCTGAACCATCTGGGAATTCAACTGCAAACCATATGCACATCCCTTGATATCTTCCATCCTTTTTACATACTGATATATAATCTTCTCCACCTAATAGATTTAATTCTTCCACAGAAATACACTTCAAATCCAGCCAAGCAATTAATTTACCTTCCGCCAAAAGATCATCTTGATTTATTTGTAGTACATCTGGCTTTGTAGATTTGAGTTTTCTGTATTCTTTTCCAAAATACCTAAGTAGAAATTAAACATATTACATAGTGAATATGATTTCTGCAATAAATTTGATAAAGGAATCTTTTATCATTATTTTTTAAACTAAAATGAAATTATTAAATTTATCATAAATTTTTGTGTGTAATGGAATAAATAAATTACCTCATACTGACTCCACAAACATCTTCCCAAAAATCATACATAGATGGTAACTGGCATGGTGAAATATATAACTTTGCTATGGATGGAAATAATAAACCATCTTCTTGTAAGAAATTATCTCTTGCAAAAAGTACAGAATCTAGCATTCCTTCGTGTACTAAATAGAAACCCATCCATTCTGAAACAATTATGTCCACTTTTTCCAAGCTGTCTGGAAGAATATCTTCCACTTTACTGTGAATTACTTGAATTATGTTCTGCACATTATTTTCAATCAGCACTTGCTCAATAGCCTCTGCTAAAGCACTTGCTTCTACTGCATAAACTTTTTTTGCACCAGCTTGAGCACAAAAAATTGATAATATGCCTGCAGAGAAAATAATTTTAATAATTTATATATATAAGTAATTAAATAAAAAATTTTAAATAATATCATTTACCTGAACCAGCACCTATATCCATTACAGTTTTACCTTGAAATTTTTCTTTCAAATTAAAAATAGCATTTTTATATGCTAAGACACGCGTTTTGTCATTTAGCATTAATTGATGAATCTAAAAGTATACATAATAAATATATGTAATAAACACTTTGCTATTCAATGCATTTTACTTACATCTAGTTCTTCATAACTCTTAAAATATTGATCCATGATTTATTGATATATAAATAGAGAATGTAAATGCATTTATTTAAAAATTAAATTTATGGAACAATCCACTTTTTTATTTTTGTATTTATTGGATATTTTATATTTCAAATGTGTATGCTTTAGTTTATAATATATATATATTTATTTCCCCAATATGAAATTTCTAACCTCTTTGCACGAGTCTAGTTATAATCATAAGAAATCAGTATCTAGAAAGTAAACTAGTGAGCTATATAACCACTGGAGTAAACCACAGAGTAAAAAATAAATTTCTTGTATAGAAGTGAATAAATACAAATTACTGCACTAAATACTCATGCATTGTGAATTATTTATAATGCATAATTATAATGCAATTTGCAATCTATGATTGTAATTATTGATTCAAGGGAAAATTAACAGTTTTGTTTTCGAAGCTGTATTAAGCTGCATCTATTTATTTGACAAATGTCTAACTAAGGGTGCAATAAATGTCAAACTTATATCAAAGATTGCCTTCACATAAGAAGAGTAAAATTAAAAAATTGAAGAAATACAAAAAAGATGAACAAAATGCAGAACGAAATAAAATGTGTCAAAAAACTTGTATGACAAATTGAAGGCACTTTTTCTATAAAAACAATTTATATGTAAAAATATATCACATTACAATGTTGCAATAGCATCAGAGAAAAATTTCTTTTATTTATACTGTGCAAGATATTTATTTACTTGTTTACAGGAAATTTATTTTGCTCAATATAAAAAATAGACCATTATAAATATGCTAAAATAGATAGCATTAAAACTAAGTTAACATTATATACAACACTTATATTTTAATTTTTTGGATTAGGCTTGTTATCATTTAGCACTGCTCCTTTTTCCATCATACGCTTTTTAAATTCCATCTGTTTTTCCATTTGCTTTCTTTTCTCTTTCCATTCGTTGCACTTCTTGTGCAGACAACACTAAGAAATTAAAATATTATATTCCACGACTATTTATTTGGAAATGCTTGCAAATAATATTAAATAAATGAATTTCTTTTGTACATTACCTTGTATTGACTTTGATTCAGTTTTTATGTCTGCAGTAGTAGTTTGTACTACTGCCATAACTATTTTGTCTGATCTGAGGAAGATGGAACAGTTATTTTCGGACTTTGGGTCTTTATAACTGCTTGTGGTTGATTAGCATCAGCTGTTTCACTCTTCACAACAAGTGATCTATTAGAATCTAGATTTATAATAATTTAATATTGAGCATGCATTCGGTACGACTTTATAAATATTATTAGAATAGATACATTGAGAATAATATAAATTTGTTAGTAATAATTATATCATCTACATACTCATCTATCAGAATCTTTTAATTATTGTCAATTTTGTCCAAATCATTTATTACAATTATAACCAGTTTTTGAATAACAGTTAACTCATTAAGCAACATTGGTCAAAAAATTTAATCTTAGATTTATATTATTCTCAGGGCTTTCCTCTTTCATTAGTAACAGACCTGTATTTTGTTCAGAATTTGGTTCTGGACTTTTATGCTTTACTTGTAATAGATAAGAAACGGGTACTATAAAAGGCACTGAAACATTTGATTTTCCTTGAATCTGCTTATTATCTAATGATTGCACTGCTATTTTCTGTACAATACTTGTTTGTTCAGAACTACTTTGTTTTTGTAATTGCTGCACCTCTTTTTCGACTTTTTCTCCAAATGATAATAGAACTCTTTTTAAGGCATTCACGGAAGAACCCTAGATAAATTTAAAAAATTTTATAATTTCTTAATTAAATATAAAGTATCCTACTTATTGTAGTGAATAATACATACAATTCTTGCTTTATGTATTGACAAGCCTTTTGTAGATTCTTCCGCACTATGGTAACCAACATCTTCATGAAAAGTTCCATTCTCCAACCGAACATTCACAAAACTAACGCATCCAACGCAACATTTAGTACCAACAGTGTCAACATAATCTATAATAAATGAGAGAACTGTCATTAGCCTGGTAAAATTTTATTTATTATTAAATGAATATTCTTCAATATATATACTGATAAATAAATATTTATACACTTATATACCTAAGCGTATATATATATATATATATATACCTAAATTCTGACTGACAACAGTGTGACACCATTTGCCTTCTCCAAAAGCTTTATTGGCTGCTGAAATTAAAACACGATGTTCTGCTGCAAAATCAATTAGTTCTGTTTTTTCCGCCTTTTGTGTGCTATTTATCGTAACTTGCTTTGTAGGTGGCTGAGCAATGGAATAATTCATTTTATTACTTTTGCACGGTTGAAAGGTAAATATTGTTCCTATGTTATGAAGCTAGAAGTCATTAGAGGTCAGACGAAAACTACTCACAATTTTGATACATGATAAATAATCATGTCCATTGTACATGTTGTCAGTAAATTCGCGCCAATTTGGCGTCTTTAAATCGCAGATTTCACCGTGTAATAAGCGGGGACACACGAAAAGTGTAGCTGTTAAACAACAAGCGGTATAACCAATCGCAGATGCGGAACCGCGAAACGTACGTTGCCATTTTGAGGTTCAAAGCATAAAGGCTCATTCTACCGAATTGCATAATCGAATAAATCAACCAATAACACGTTTAATATGGAAATAGCATATGACATCTTTTACATTAGATATATACTTTCATATAATTCATATTTTCGATTATTAAATTTTTATAAATATATATAAAAATTCATATAAAGATTTTTTCCCGCGTTTGTGTTGAAATATTTTATCTGTTAATCATCCGTTAAAAAGTCAAACGGACTTCTTCGAAAACGAGTTATTTTAAAAATGTGACGTGTCGTACGTATAATGCACCGGACTGTTTCATCTGATATTACTCGATAAAAGTTATCGTCGAACGTGATTCGTAGGCCACTTTTGCTCACGATTATTATTAATGGGCTCAAGTGAAAGCGCTGCTGTGCCGAAGACGCGTGAAAGCATCTACGTCGATTGATGCGGGAGACGAGTTGCGCGCCCCGTTATCACACTTAATGCAATTAAAGGATTGAAGATGGAACGTATTGTTACAACTGTACGATAGTCTTTTGCGATACGTTGACAATACCCACGAAGCTTGAACGAAACATGAGATTCAACGACAAAGAGCTCGCGGAAGCGAGTTGCGGACCCGCGGATCTCGAAGGGCGTCTGAATCACAAGCGGGCTCATAAGTCAGGTTAGTTTAGTGTGAATATAATTGAATACGTTTTACGCAACGCACAATGAGTCAACTTAACCTGCTACCTGTCATTTGACACGCTCGATCGATTCACTAATATATTCTTTTTATTCGTGTCTATAGTTGTCGATTGTATTCATCGACTCTGTTGAGAGAATATTTACTGAATGTTTATTTAAATATTTAATTAAATAATTATCTCAAGTTTATATGAATAATATATTTAATATAGTGAGAGAATTTAATGTAACAAAAATATTTAATAAAAGAATAAATAATTATAGTCAGTATATCTATGAATAATATATGTAACATTTTGTAGTTTTACTTTCAATATTTAATATTTATTTTTAGTATTTAAAGAAAAATGGTTCAAGCTGAGGTACAATCTGCTGTTTTATTTCAACATCAATGATTTGGGACAGATTGACAGAAGACAACCTGCTGGTGTTATTATTTTGGAGAATTATAGTATCAATATAGACAATTCATCTGAGGGAGCATTTGCATTTAGTATTTCATTTCGTGATGAGCATGAGAAACGGCATGTATTAAGCGGTCGATCAGAATCTCAAGTAGAACAGTGGATTCATGCGCTTAAGCAAGCGAGTTATGAATATTGGAGATCACGCTTAATTATGCTTCAAGAAAGATTGTGCAAGAAAACAGGTAAAGATCCATTACTTATGTATCCTAGAAATCAGGGTGTTGTACGAGATGAGGCTTGGGAATCTGCCTCCAGCTTCAGATCTCATGTACGTTCATTTACAACATCAGTTACATCGTCCACATTGGACACAATAACAAGGGAAGTTAATCTAATAGACCTTTAATACAAAACAAATTAGGATAATTAAATTACATCATTTGCTTTCTGAAATTTGTATTTTAGAGAAACGTGCATAATAGATGCCACATAGTTTATGCCTGTCACTTGAGCAAATTTCAGAACTTCAACCAGCATATAAAGCTTTAATAACATATATAATTTACATGAATCTATGTCGGATAAAATACAAAGAAAAATAGGAACATTAGAGTTAGAAATACATTTACTTTATTAACACAATATTTTGTTTAATACAACATAATATAGTGTTTTTAATTTTAAAAAGATTAAAAATATGCAAAAAATTGTTTTTTTTTCTAACAAAGCAAAGAATATTACGAAGCACAAGAAAAGACCAACTATGATATCAGTTAAAATAATAATCTAAATAAACTACATAATAAAATAGTATAGAAGCAAAATATAAAGCCATTTGCAAAATATATGCAAGTAATATACAACGATGTAAATAATTTATATTAATTTATAATACTATTAAAAGAAACTACTATAAAAGAAAATTTTGATGTATGAATGTGCTAAATGTATGCTTAGTAATATTTTTTGTTGCTAAGTGTTCCTGTTGGATAGAAGATATTGCACTAGGTACAATTGGTAGGAAGAGAGAAAATTGTGATTGTTTATTTGCCACCCACCGTTTCTACCTCTACGTAAATTCGATAAAGTATTTAACTAATGAATACTCATTTCTATTTGTATAAAATTTGTGTATTAATATTAATCGAAAAATTTTTAATGAAGTAAAATAAGAATGAAGTTTAAATAAAGATATTTTTATAATTTCTGTATATTCTCTATATTCATTATCAAAAGCTTTATGAAAAATTTATACATTCAGGAGTTAATAAATTTTTTCGCTATATATACACTATATTTTTAATACAGCATATATGCAATGAAAAAATGTAGTGAAGATAATATTCATTGTATTATGTAATAATAAAATGTTAAATATTTCGATAATATATAAAATTTTTACTAATGTTTGATGCAATTATTTTTTAGCTTGTTTAATAGATTAATATGTTTCTTAAGCTTGCATCACAGATTATACGATTCAAGCATAAACTGGAAATTTGAAATCGACCAATCAGATAATCTCAACTAGGGATTTTTTTCTTCTTGCAACAGAGAAAAACCTGAGAGGGGCCACGCTGCTGTTTTTCGTACGAACGTTTTACTAGGCCATACACTAGCGGCGCGTACATTTATTTTACAGCCTGCCTGGAACTACATGGCCACATCCATTTTCCGGGATGGTAAAAGAGTCTTGGTTGGTTCATGTTCGTGTTACATTCATTTTCCGGGATGGCAAAAAAGAGATGCGAACTCAGGTTTCTCTCTTTCGCTTGCAATATTCAACGTGCAGTTGGATACGAGCTTTAGATCCTTCAAAAATACATAACCTATAATCTGCTAGTGTTATTATTTTGTAAACAAAATATAGATTTGCGATATTTGCAAAGATAAGTCGTATAAATGATAAGGAAAAGAACGTTTAGTAAATCAAATGAAGTAGAATTATAAAACCTATGCATTTTGTTTGATTATTCTTTGTTCAAAAAATGGATATTGAATACAAATTTTTGAAAGAAATTGATTGCAAGCAAGGAGCAGTCAGAGCTGTACGATTTAGCGGTAAGGAAGTTATTGTTTATGTTTATTTATGTTTGTTTTATAAATCATGCATGTTAACTTGTAACTTTGTGTTTTAGTTGATGGTTCGTATTGTGTAACATGCGGATCGGATAGGAAGTTGAAGCTATGGAATCCATACAAGTCCGCTACTTTAAAAACATACGGTGGACACGGCGACGAGGTTATGGATGCTTATGCATCCTGCGACAGTAGCCAAATCGTATCTTGCGGATTAGATAAGCTTGTAATTCTCTGGGATGTAGCGACAGGCACGTCTGTGCGCCGCTTTAGAGGACACGCAGGTCCAGTCACAACAGTGAGGTAAACATCATCGATTTGCAGTGAATCTGAAGTTTTGTTATATTTTTAGATGCTCATTGCATAATACTAAAGACTTATGTACAGATTTAGTTGCATTTAATAGTAACAAAACTTGAAACTGTTATATAACTTTCTACAATATTTCTTCTTTAATTTAAGTTCTTTTTACAGCCTAGCTGACTGAGCTTTATGTTTCTTGTTACAACTACAGATTCAATGAGGAATCGTCAATGATAATCTCTGGATCTCGTGATAACAGCGTTATGTGTTGGGATGTACGTTCTAGAGCGCAAGACGCTGTGCAAACATTAAGTGATGCCAAAGATGCCATTTCAAGTATAAGGGTTTCAGATCATGAAATTTTATCTGCTTCTTTTGATGGCAAAGTACGTACTTACGATATACGTGTAGGAGAACTTTGTGCAGATTATATGGGAGGTAAATATCGACAATGAGAAAGTGACAACATATTTGCAAAATGTGTGATTTTATTAATTAAAAAATAAAAATATTTTTCAGATGCAATTACATGCGCCAGTTTTACCAGAGATGGCCAATGTCTGGTTGTCAGTTGTGCAGACGATGTGATCAGATTAATCGACAAGGATACAGGAGAGTTGCTTAGTGAATTTAAAGGACACACTGGAAAAGATCTGTGTCTAGAGTCAAGTGTAGATTGTCATGACACAAAAATTCTTTCTGGCTCGGCAGATGGCAAATTATGGATCTGGGATCTTGTATCTCAGAAAGTAATTGCAAAACTCTCAGGTTTCAAGCCGACCAAACATCCTACTGTATCTATAAGTGTGCACCCACAGAAGAATTGTTTTTTGGCTTCCAATGGATCTGATATATTGATGTGGAATTGTGCATCTCATACAGATGATGAATAATACTAAGATTTGTAATTATACGACAGTATATATAGGGTAAGTTTTCAAAATAATTTCAAATTATTTTTACAAATTAAAACAAATTAAAGATTTATTTGAGTTTGAACAATGCACAGAAAATAAATGGTTTGTTTATTATTTAACTGTTTACAAGTTATAAAAAAATATTTACAAAACATTTTAAATGACTTGTATATTTTCTAGGTCTGTAAGTTATCACATATTATAAATGCAAAAGTATTAATAAATACATTTTTGTTTTGTGATAATGCTACACTATACATATATAGCACTGTAATATACATATATGTATTATGATTGAATTTAATTCTAATAATGTGCAAAATATTTCTATAAAAACAAGCCTGGCAGCATTCCTGGCCAGCCAAATATTGACGTCCGTGAGAAGTAAACAACAGCTATAGTAGAAATCCACATGACCGTTGAATAAAAGAATTTTGCGGGAATAACGCCCAATTCGCACACATAGATAAGAGCGCGTATTTATGCAGCTAGGAATGTTGTATGCGTGATCGCAAAAATTTCACGCCGGCGTAAATGTGCGCGGGCGTTTCTCGTCTGCTGTTACAAAAGGAGGGAGAGAAGGTATATGGGTTAGGGTTAAGCTAGGTCATATAACCGCGTCGTCATTCGTACAGTCCGTACGTTTGTACATACGCGTTCGGCGATTCACATGCGTGCGACGTGCGTGAACGTAACTTTCGAGCGTATAAAATTTTGACGCAGGCAAGAGAGGGACGGAACGAGAGGACTCCGCGAGGATTCTGCGCGCGCAGGTGGCGCGATGTTGGTGGCGTCAGAATCACTGCTCGCCGGCGTAGTCTCGCCCGCGAGCACGAGAGAGAGAGAGGAATGACATTTTGCGCCGGGCAGTTAAGCGTGGCAGACAGAAACAGCAGAGAGCGAAAGAAACACAGTGGTGAATTACAATTACACGAAGAATCCGGATATAAACTGATTTCGAGGTTATTTCGCTGGTAAACATTCCAAATTAATAACTTGTTAAAGCAAATATTACTGTTTCTTTTTTATAATGAATAAAAATTGAGAAAATATAAATGGAATTTTCGCATTCTGAACGTTGCATAAGCAGAATTATGTGATACTTCTATAGTTTCTATTAAAAAGTTGAAGATCAAGGAAACTTAAAAGCATGAATTGAAACCGCAATGAGATTAAATATGAATATCATAAACAAATGACAATTTGACAATTTTACAATTGCATAGCAATATGTATAGCGTAAACGCGCTTTTCCGCGTAATTTTGACAATTGAATCTAGCAGTTTTAAATCATGCTTCGAGCAACATTCTGCGAATTTTATTTTCAAATATATTTTTTTGTAAATAAAATAAAGGTTGAGCTTTGGAGACTGTGCCGAGGGCGCTACATACACACGACCGCATGACGATTCGTCCCTGCTGGATCGACATAACGAGTAAGAGAGAGAAATAGAAAGACAAGGGAAGACGCATGAAGGTGTTCGCACACGGGGCGGGCCGGTCAGTCTCACTACTAGACGGAGATAAAATTTTTGGCCGCACGAGAAAGACAGTAAGTGACAAAAGGGAGAAAAAAACAATCTAAAGCAAAGAAAACCCAGGTGAACGAGAAACATAAACAAATAAGCAAGAGTGAGCGAATCGACTGGCTCGGTTTCGCGGATATCGACGGAGGCTGCTGGACCGCGTGGTCTTGCGAGGCTCCTGTGACTATCTCGTCCCGTTCGGGTTGTTATTGTTGTTGATCGATATCCCATGAGAGGGACAGGTAGCAAAAGCTAGAGAAAGAGAGTGTCAGAGAGTCGGAGAGAGAGACATAATCGACAAGAGCAAGAGGAGCGACGAGAGAAGAAACTATCGTTACGGTGAGAGGAAGTGGAAGCGAGAGAGAGAGAGAGAGGTTGGCAACGGTGGTGGTGCCGCCGCGCCGCGCTGCGCTGGGTGGCGGTGGTTGGTGGTGGTAGTGGTGGTGCGCCGTGACACACGCAGTGGTGGTAACGAAGGCACGAAGGACACGACCGTGAGAAGAAAGAAGGGTTGTTATGGGGCGAGGAGACTGCCATTGCGTGCTGCTGCTCGTCGCGTTGACCGCGCTGGCAGCCGCGAATGCCTTCTCCACTGACAGTAAGTACCCGCATACTCTACTCCACCGTGAAATATTTTCGGAGCGACGATCGAGTGGGAGGGTTGGCGGGTGGGAGAGCGCGGGGAGAAGCTGCTCCTGAAGCCTGGCCCCGTGCGACCCAGCTTCACTGGTCCAGCCTTGCCGCGATTCTTCGGAATCCGCGGCTCATTTTCGAGCTTTTCGCCTCGATGAACTCGTTCGCGATGCATCGCGGCGCTCTTCCGTCGAATTTTTCAGTCAACAACTCGATTCACTTTTCCGTCACCGTGTCCCTCGTCCGTCCTCCCCCTTTCCTTTCGTAGGTGCGTCGATAAGAGGCTGATCTTGAAAGCGGGCGATCAAACGCGAGTTCCGAGATCACGCACTGCTCCGCCGAGAGCGGATTACTTGTCACGCGTTGTTGGTTAGATATCGGGATGGGATAATTCGTTTATTTACGACCGTTGTCGAACGTGCCGCTGTATTAACTGTCAACATCGTTATTATCTGACGTCACGCGAGACGCGCGGTAATAGCACCGTAGAATCGCGCTGTAATCTGAAAAAGACTGTCCTCGCCGTGGAAACCCTTTAAAAAATACGTCGGCGGGGCCGCGGGACGAGGATTTCATGGCGGCCATTCTCACCCTAAGCTCATCTCCGAAATTTCCTCTCCGGAAGCGCATTGCGCGAATATCGATACATAGTATAAGCTGAATTTTAAAAATCACGCTACAATCGATTGCGTTATATTGTTATATCGCATATTTTTTATCTCAAATTTTAACGTCTATAAAGTAAATCTGGATTGTTAAAAAAAAATAGAGAAAAAGAAATGATTGGTTCATTCGCATATTCGAGGGAATGCAGTGCGTCGAGATTTTCACGTGCTCTCGTTCCGTCGCGTTGAATCGCTCGCAGCATCCCTCCACGGGGATGAGCGTCCAAAAGAGCATCACGGCGAGGACGTTCGATTTGACCGGCGCGATGATGCACATTATATAAGCCCGATAAGCGCGCGACATCGTCTCGTCTTGTCAATGGCGTGCACACTTGCTTTCCTTTCATTGTCTCTTTGTGTACGTTTCTACCTCGTCGAGGCGAGTTGTATATACACAGATGTTAACTTGGTTCGAAAATCGAATAAAGGTAATCGAAATCGCTTTGATGTAATACGGACAATAAGATAATTCCGTATTTACGCATCGCGCGCGATAAGCGGGAGCAAAACGAGTCGCTCGTATTGTCAAAACCTATTTTTCGATACAATATCATGACATCATAATCCAATATAAAAAAAATAATTACGAAAGTGAATTCGATTTAAAATACAATACGGATTATGACGTTTTAAAGGTAAAAAATTCTATAAATTGTTTGTTACGTTGAACGCCGAGGTAAATTGAATTTTTTTTTTTTTTGTGTACCGACACTCGTGTTCGATAGTGTATTTGGTAAAATATTCCAAAAACTCCCCTTTTGGCCGTCCTCCATTAATAAATGAACGTATATTCAATCGACATGTGTCCTACATTTACTAAATGGGGCGAGAATGGACCGTATAATAGTTGATCGAGAGATACAGTTATCTATTAATATTATTATTGAACCATGAATAAGAGAGAATCTTTGACGCGCTTTATAAATCCGTTTCATTGAGTACAAGTTTTCACATTCATAGAAGTTAATTTATTAATGTACAATTCGAGAAAGAATTTTACATCATTTTTCACATTCGACGTCACGGCTGCGATGTGGATTAATTTTTTTTTTTTTCAATTCAGCAAAGTATGTTATCTCCAAATATTGAATTTCTTTATCCCATATCTCGCGCTAAACGCAATATCGCAACGCTTTAACGTTGCACTTCTCGTCTAGACTAATTGGCCGTTTATCCGATATCGGTCGACTTAATAATTTAACGGCCAGCACAATTCGATTTAGCGGAAACATTTGCACTTAACGGAACGGGATGGCGATAATAATCTATGTTTATCATCAGATATGAAGATTACGATGAAGTGCGCCATGAACAATCCTAAAAAAACGTAATTCCTTTACCTCAGCGCATTTCGCGCCGAATTAAAGCTTTTAATCCCTCATCGTCGTCACGCTGAATTATGACGTCAGAAGCGGAATATCATATGAGCTTTTTATGCGCTATTGAAATTAGTTTCTTCTTTTTGCATGTCACGAGTCGTATGTGACGCAACAAATTTGTGAAATGTTATGACTTCTTTTTGTCTCGCAGATTAATGGATGGCTGTAAACTTTCAAGATTTATTTTCACTGAAAAATTGAATTATTTGTTCGTTTATTCGCGAATGATAAAAGTTCTCGAGAGTTTTTTATTTTATTAATAATATTAAACGAGCGGCGGCACGCGAAAAACTGATTTATCTCGGCGTAGAATGCACATGGAAGAAAAAATTTCATGATTTATCGCTTCTGACGACGTCGGAATAAATTCGATGTAAAGTGCAGCGAGCGGGAACCTTAAATGTATCTTTGAAGTCGGAGTTTTGTATGCGGAGGTGGAGAGTTATCTCGCGCGAACATTTGTCAACAAAATCGCGCCGCACTCTCGCTCGCCTTCGCGCGAAAGTTCGTCGGTTACATTTGTTTCGCGGGCAGCAGCGGACACGCGTTGGACAAACTGTCGGATTTAGCGCGGGTTCGCGAAATTTGTTTTCGCCGGAAGACGCGCGCACGCCCACGCTTCGTCAGTGCATTCGCGAATTGCGATTAGCGTAATGATTTTTCCGGCCAGTCCACGCAATCTGCAAAATATAGAATACACGTCTGATTGCACGTTTGTCCGGCCGGTTCTCCGAGACACCCACATTGGCTTCGCGCTCATCCCGGTCGTCTTATTACCATCGCTCGTTAATTTCGCAAAGAAATTCAACAAGGCTACTAACAGCGGAAATCGTGCGAAGGAAATGGCCGGCGCGTGTTTGCATAATAAATCCGAATCGACAATTCCCGACGGGAGCTGTCAAAGTGTTTCGCACGACCGACGCACACGATCCATACATGAATTTGCAGAAACTTCAATCCAAGACCTGTGTGCGGCTTATTTAGATTACGTTAAAGTTATATTACGCTGTGCACGTAGTGCACGCTGTCTATCATATGCCTGTTCGCCGGCATCGCCGCATAAGCTGGTATATAAAGAATTATTTGTTGCATTATCTTTGAGCAAATATTTTTAACGCGCATCCGCCATCGTTTCGTAGAATAAAATTGTATCGCTTCACAAATCAGTTTTTCTTCTTATCGCTCTTTTAGTGGAATTAAAAAGAAATTTACTAGCAAAGACGAAATCGTCGACAGTAATTTGTAATAATGAACAATTATCGTACATTAATAATTTTATATAAATAATATATTGTCACAATTTTTATGCAAATCTGTAAATATATATGAAGAAATGTGTTATGATTAGTGATAACATTATTTGCAGAGTTATTTACAATTTTGCCTAAATATTTGCAACAATATAATACGCGAAAATAAGAGAACAATTCGCGAAAGTAAAATTGTCGTGATTTCTCTGTTTATTTGCTCGATGAATATGATGGGTATCTATCTCTCGATTGTCGTCAGCAAGAATTGCATGGTAACCTTGTCGGCCAGTTAATACAGATGAGCTGCAAGATCATGTTTGATTTTATCATTACTGCGTCCGCGGCATTTAATGCGACTGTGCGTCGCGCCCGCGTTTCGCCGTCTTCTAATGGCGAACCTACTCTAATTATAGCGCGTCACAAATCTTGGCGTAATCTCAATCTGTCTTATTTATAAAAGGCAAATTTATAAAGTTTGCAGCGCACGTTAAATGCATTAAGGAACGTAAGCAGCAACATTTAAGCAACAAACCGATATCGATTTTATTGCAGTCGAGCGTTCTCGAGAATGCAAAGCATTTTGAAACTTAAAAGTTTTAAGTTAAAACCGTGATTGATCGATTCGCATACTGCTTAAGTTACACTCCTTACGTTCTTTTATTTCTTACAGTTTACTTGAATTACGTACATTTTTCTCAGCGCATCGTTTTATTTCTTCGATTCTCAGGTAAATCGGCTTGCCCGCTGAGGCAGTTTCGATGCGCCAATGGCAGATGCATACCGATCTCGTGGGTCTGCGACAAAACCGACGACTGCACTGACAATTCCGACGAAAGTCCGGAGGAATGTAAAAGTAAGTGCAATGCTTCGTTCAAAATGTCGCGAAATACGTATCGTTATACCTACGTGACACGGCATGATCGCGCACACGTTTGCGCAACTCTTCAGCACGTTAAATTCGCATATGAGCTGAAATACAAACATCATTTTACATGACAAATATTAGCACCGCATAAACAAACGAGCCACTGGTTGTTTCGCGGCCGAGTTTTGTCAATTTCTGTTCTATCATTTTCACCCATCGTAATTAGATATTTCCCTTTAACGACCACTTTGATGTTACATCTTGATCGCAATCATGAAATCGGGACTCGCAATATTTGCGACGAAATTTTAGAGAGAATTCTAATTGCTTTATTTAATAATTATTTAAAAATAAAAATTAAAAGTGATATCGAACATTTTAGGGGGGTTTTAAGTGAATTGAATTTTGATTTTAATTAAATTTTGTTTACCAGATATTATTTGGAAGAATTGTGAAACACATTTACAAACTTTTCACCTTTGTTTGCATTTTAATGCATTTTATCGTAACACAAATAATGCATGCATGTTTTTCGCGGAAGATAAATTAGCGCAAAAATTTCGAGCGATGCGAAAGTTGGAATAGCAAAGTATTCATTTATATTCCGGATTATATCGGAACATTCTTTTGCGACAATACAGGCAACATGAAAATCTAAACGATGTCGCAAAGACGTCCAAAAAAGTTTTTATATTCTTTTTTTTTCGAACATTTTTCAGACGTTTTTACAGTGTCTAAAAGATTCCGTCTTTTAGATGTTATAAAAACGTCTGGGGAAAATATTGTATATTTGTTAGAAAACTGCAATATCGCGAACTCGTGCGACGAACGCATTTCGCACAGCAGGTAATTGAATATTTATGAGTCGCATTGTTTACGACCGCGATGAACGGTGACGGAAGTGATATCGCTTGCGTAAAGTGACACGGTGGGGAATTATGGCGAGACGTTTCGGAAATTTCGCTCTATACTACTGCGGAAGTGTATGTACTCGCGCGCACATGTGTTCGTTAATTAAATGAAGCGATCTGTTGACAAACAAGCGCGGCATGTTTGCTCGTTGCGTTCTTGCGGCGTTTTATCGATTCCGAATAGATGTCCCAGCGTAGCACGGAACTAATTTTCGCAGTTACGATTTAAAGCCAAGCTGCCTGAGCCAATCTCGACGGCCGCGGCATCTGATCGATCGCTCGTCGGGATTTGTTTACGAGACTCCGTGCGTCAACCGAATCCAATCGACGCGTAGTTAACGGTTAATAACTACAATAATGTGATATAACATGACAACAATACCGTGTCAGAGTGTGCCGTGATTCGATACGAATCCGCACATTTCGCAAAGCGCTTTGCTAAGATAATATTTGCAAATTGTGCAATTTTTATTAAAATTTGGATTATAATCTGCACAATCAGTGTTATTATATGCATACATACATCGAACGTTATTTTAAATTAATTTGTTAAATTAATTTAAATTTGTTAGAATTGTTTGAAATTAACAACCAATTTCAATTTATATATAATTCTATTTATTAAAACCAATTATAGAATCTGTAATACAATTTACAACTGATTTCGAGATTAATCTATTTATAATTTGATATGTCATACAAAAAAACATTAAAAAAATTAGAGCCCGCATGTACTAGTGACATTTATGTGTGTATTCCGATTCTTCAAACATTTTTATTACAAAAAATTCTAAAAATTGTGGGAATTAAGGACAAAATAGATAAAAGAAATACCTAAATAATTAAATATTAGTTGTCAGAAGAATATAATATTAAGTTTAATATAATCAAAATAAAAAAAGACAAGCGATTATCGCGTTATTTACGACCGATCGATAGCTCGAATTTATAGATGACTCCGCAAAAGACGACTCTCTACCTGAACTAATTGCTCCAAATTCATAACCAGTTAATAATACGAATAATAATACAGCATATTATAAGGTCATTATAACATATATTCTATCATATTATAATATTTCTGTAAAATAGATTTCCACCTCGAATTCTGTCGCGAGTTATAGATATGTGGATTTATCAAATATTCATTGTATGAATAACTTGAACTAGCAAAAACATATATTCGCTATAAATATATATTTTTTAGATTAGGTTACATGTAAAAAAAAAGAAAATGACTTGCATATTGTAAAAAAATTTATTCAAATGCGATTTTGAATCGAATTGAAAAGAATTAAGATACGATTTTATCAATCTTTGTCACTACATATACACATAAAACAAATCGAGTTTGAAATTTGCTCCCTTTTGCTTGTCAAACATAGATATGCATAAATAAAATATTCGTCTAACTTGATAATTATTTTAGCTATATCGATTTTTAAATCGCATCAAAGAGAAAATGTCATTAATAATAATGTTGCCGGAGATATTCTAGCGGAGAATCGAGATTTTAAATTACAAACGCGATAATTTTATCGACACATCCTTGACTTATCGTGTATCTTCCTATAAGTGCGTATCGTGTAATAACCTACATGACACCGTACTTTTACGCGAGTGCATTTTTTTGCAGATAAAGTGATTGCGTTATGAACGGCGCTGCCTGTCTTCGTGTTAGTCCAATTGTATCACAGTAATCGGGAAATCACTGATACTCGACCTATATTATTCTTCGATGCGAAGTATTTAAGCGTTCATTGACTCAAACTGTTCTGAACAAAGATTAAGACAGTCCGAAGATCTTTGATCCTTGGAAATTGTTTCGATTTCTGCAAATGCATATTTACCTCTCGGCGATAACAGTAAACTTCGCGTGCTGGCGCCTTTTCAATCGTTTAAGAGACTCGTACAGTTGAGCAAATATTCTTCTAACAATACAAGTGAACGGAAAACATAGGAGTTTATTAAAAAAAACTGTAATTGGAAAGTCGCAGAAATGTCTAGCTACATAACGTCGCTCACAGCCAGTTGAAACTTTGTTTTTTTGTTACAACATTCTTAATTAAAGTTTGAATAAAAATTATTTTTGCACGACAAATTGAGCGAATAAGCAAAAAGATTATTATTTATCTCATGAATAATTAACGAAGAGTATTTTCTTTTGTATTATATAAAATGTTTCGGTAACAGGTGCATTTTACGAGCACAATTGTATTTTCGATTAAAAATTGAAACAACTTTCATTAAAATTTAATTAAATATCGTATTTTTCGTAGTTTTTGAAAATTTGATATTAAATTTGTATTTCTCCGAAGGGAAAGAGGGATAATTTGCCTAAATTTTTTCAATTTAATACTCGAAAACTTATTCAGACATTTTTGTTAGGGAAAAATTATTTTCCTCTTCTACTATCAAGGATATCGTACATAATTTATCTTTATAACACAAATGATTTATGCGTTTAACTGGAAAGATCACAGACGTAACTCAGCGATAATAGACTTTGTTCGCATCGTGAATATAATGAGCGGCAATCAGAAAATCTGAAGAGTTCACGACGCAGTTATCTCTTGCCTTCCTTGCACTCTGGCTCCGAGGTTTCGCGATGAAAAAATAGGCAAGAACGAGGAACAGTTATCGTTGTATAATTTTATAAATGTGTGATTACAGGCCCGTCGCGCAATTCTGCACAAATTGCGCGACAAAAACTCGCCGTCCTTGCCTATGGTTTCTCCGATCAAACGTGGGAGAATTGGCGCGGTATAAGACGCAGCTTCTCGTTAATCTTGCATCAGACAGAATGTTACGGAATTTACTGTTTTGTAGAAAATCAAACTGCGCGTTTGCGCATTGGTTTTCCATTATTTAAATTATTTGATTAATGAAGTTTAATGTGGATAATGTTGAATGACAAAACAGTTTAGAACTTGTACGATATTATTTAATTTCTTCACCGCAATTTTCTCTTCTTCCGTCGTCAAAAATCAAAATAATTTTTCTCTAACAAAAATGTCAAAATAATACTTAATAAACGCTACAATTTTTGTTGTGAACAATTGAGATAAATTTTCTTTGACACAAAAGTAGAAATATTGATTCTTTTTGAATGAATTTTTAACAATGGATATTGTGTTCTGTTCGACAATTGTAGCTACAATATTATTGACTAATTCATATTTAACTTGTCATGTACATCATGTCGCGACATTTGACTTTCTCATTTATTTGTTGTTTATTTCGTGAAATTAGTCTTGTTGTACAGTTTTATATTATTCTCTTGGCGATGTAACGTAATTGTACTTCGCAACGTTAAATTCCTCGTAGAAGATTTCCTACATTCGTATAAATTGTGTTACACAGAGAGCGCAAATAAACGGGCGGCTAAATAAGCAACTAAATAGACAAACTGCGGCACGATAGTGCAGCGACGTGAAATAATAAGATAGAAAAGGCAGCGGGGAAAGGAAGAGATCGGAGCGAGAGAAAGAGTGTCGTCTAACGAGCGGAAAGAAGCAGTAAAAACGAATGGGGAGACTGCCAAACGAACCGCGCCGACTTTACCCTTTGTCGTTTCTCGGAACGTTCGCAGGGCTTGCATTTTGCACGCAGATTCCGCCTTGTCGTGGCCCTTTTGTTCCCTTTCCCTTTGGTTTGCTCGTTGCGTGTCGTCTGCCATTTCGGTCTCAAATCCCACTATTACTTCTGTTGTTGATTTTCTTTCATTTGTTCAAACACATATTCCGATTGTGTCGCCGATTTTGTCTTTCTTTCGACAATTAATAAGCAGTTTCACTTTTGGACGATCAAATTCTACTTTCGATAAAAATCGATTAACGACTGATTGCGCATGCTTTGTATTTTGTAGAGGGAGTAACAGAGTTACAAAAATATTCAAGATTAAACTGTGTTTTCCTTCAATTGCAGACTTTTTGATCGAAGTATTGATTCCTTCTTTAAAAAAGTCAGTACTTTAGAAATATATCGACATATAAAGAACTATTAATCACAAAATTGATTAAAAATCAACAGCGGCTTAAAGTTAGTCACAAGCGTGAAGGCTTGAAATAGAATCGA